ACCACGCCCGGCTAATTTTTTTATTTTATTGTAGAGATGAGGTCTCGCCAAGTTGCCCAGGCGGGTCTCGAACCCGAGGGCTCATGCAATTCACTCACCTCAGCCTCCCAAAGGTGCGGGATTACAGGCTGAGCCATTGAGCCCGGCTGGCCTTTTTCTATTTGAGCAGACGATGCAGTCTCATTGTCTTCCTCCCACGTTAATAATATGTAATTTGTTGTCCAGTCTGCTGTTTGAAGAAGATTTAGAAGGACATACTTGTGATTCCTGAAAGCCTCTTCTCTACTGATTGATCATATCTCAGTATATACTCCATCTCTGTATTTGCTTTTTAGTGCAATTTGAATGGAAAACTTCGAGGAAACACACATTTTTGAAAAATGTGCATAAGTTTGTCCTATATAATCACCAGCAGTCTCTTTATGTCCCCTGAGAGGGAACACCATAGTGGTTTGCTAGATTTACGATGTTCTATCAGAGGGGACAGCTGAGCACAAAGGGTTAAACTTCAGTCACCTTCAAAGTGCTTACCATTTGATGCAATACACCTCATGAAGCCGGCTTTCTTCTTTCAATTCATGATCATGTAGAAAATGTTCCCTTTGGTTATCAACCTTTAAAATAAATAAATAAGCCGGGCCCGGTGGGTCTGCCTGTAATCCTGCGCCTTGGGAGGCTGAGGTGAGTGAATTGTCTGAGTCTGCGGGTTCGAGACCCGCCTGGGCAATTTGGCGAGACCTCATCTCTACAATAAATCAAAAATGAGCCAGGTGTGGTAGCGCGCACCTGTAGTTCCAGCTACTTGGAAGGCTGAGGCAGAAGGATCACTGGAGCCCAGCAGGTCAAGGCTGCAGTGGCCGGGAGCGGCCACTGCGCTCCAGTCTGGGTGACGGAGTGAGACTCCAAGTCAAAAAAAAAAAAAAATACACCTCATGAGACACTTTTCCCACTGCTCAAAACAGCTTTTGAACATGTCTGTTTTGATGGCTTTTAGTACCTCATATTCTGGTAAGCTCTCTGATGCTGGTGTCCACTTCAAGGTGAGCTTTCTTACGGGCTGTGTCTTCTAAAAAAGTCTGCCCCATTTGTGTGGTGCCGACTTGCCGAGTATGTATGTATGTTTGCAGACTTCCAGAGTGTGTAGGAAAGGAGGGTTGTTGGGTAAACTGTCGCAAGGCCACTGTGCTTCCCAGTTGACATAGTTTAGAGATAGACTCTGGTTCCCAGGAGAGACAGAAAGGGAGGCTTTGGGGCGAAATACGGGTCTGTAGGTTCATATCTTAGGTTCCGTCAGTACCGAGACTAATTGATGTAGACGGAGCGTGAGAGATTGTGAGTTACAAGCTGTGGTGGGGGTCACCTTGGCCTTGGCCTCGGCCTCTCCCTGTGGGACCCTGAATATGGCCTTTCAGGCCCTCTGGGAACAAATCTTGGAGCTTTTCTTTGTCCTGATAAACTTTTTCTTAATTGTTAGGAATTGAGACTGTTCAGAGTTACATTTTTATTACGAAAAGCCTAGCAGTTTGGTGTGTCGTTTCCTTGGGGAGACAAGGCACTAGCCAGCCATACGACTTCTATCCCAGTGGAGGAGAATGGTGCAGAAGCCCAGGCAGGCCTCTGCAGTGTCGGGCAGTGCCCTTTAATGCCCCTGTACTCCGCAGTTGGACCTGCTAGCAGCCTGCACCAAGTTGATCCAGGGACTGAACAGAGGCAGCGAGATGGCCTGAATAACTCCAACTTGGGTAATGTCATGGATGAGATGCCTTTGAGAACAGCTAATCTGGCATGACATTGTCCCTTTAAGGCTTTATAAGTAACTGCCTGCTACGGGCTTGTCTAGGCAGCTGCACTGTAATTGTGCACTCCACGGAAAGGTGGAGGCATGGAAAGGGATCTGAAGGTAACAGAATGCTCGGGGAACTTCAGAGATTAGCATGTGGATGGATGGCTGAATGTTCCCTAGCAGGATCTTCGGGGACGTCAGCGGCGGGCTGGCAGAGCACAGAGCTGGCCGCGGGCAGGTCTGGTTGCTCATGGCTGAATCCACAGGGTGGTGGCGGGCTGCTGAGAGAACCGGCAGCAGTGGGATTCCTTGTGTAAACTTTGCCGGGACTAGTATTGGCCACGTGACTCCCGGCCTCTGGCACATGCCTGCCACAAATCAGGTACCCAGTAAATCTGGGTTGAGCACACCAAAGGGAATTCCACCTTCCCAGCATAGCAAAAGCTGCAGATGATGAAAAATGTGATTGTCCTTCCCAGATATTAGCCAGTGTAATCTGTGGCATTAAACACAGTCTTCTTTTGAATGGCTTTTTTGTTCTTGGCGAGCTCATTTAAGAACCACTGGGTTAATTGCGACTCCACCCCCAAGCAGCCCCGTGACAGCTGGCCCCTTGTTTCCTTTCCCATCAGGCATTCCCTACCAAGCTGCCCCTGGAGTGAGTATATTTCTCCCCACCCCCGTTTCTCTTTTAGGTAGTCATGTTAACTGGTAGGCCCCATCCCAGCACCTGCAGTTTACGTGGATCTTGCTGGGTGAGGACAAGCTCTTTCATCTGTTATCTCTGTTCATCTTAAAAACAAATTAGAAAACTGCTTGCCTGCAGCATTTTAGTGGTGAGAATTGGTGGCCTGGAGCTACGCGAAGAACTCTGAAAGATACATTTAATTTCCATTGAATCTCAACCTGATTTTTTGAAGGCTTATCCTTATTTCTTTTGAGTGTTTAGGTCCTGCTTGTTTCTTACAAAGAAACATTTATAGAAATGTTGAAGAAACAGGTCCTAAAGGCTAAATGTCCCATGATACCAAGAGGTCCGTATTAGGGATTCAGCCTTTAACTTCTGGTCTCTGGCCTGTAGCCGGGGCTGCATAGAGACACCTGCTGTCTCAGAAGGATTCCTTAGATTCTGTTGGTTTTCCTTCTGAAAACAGCATCCTGCAGGTAGAGTAGTCTAAACACTCGTGGTTTTAGAATAACGGAATGGGGAAATCGTAGGGAGGATTAGGATAGCCGAGGGAGAGATGCCAAGAAGAGACCCCTGAGAGGAAATGGAAGGGAAAGAGTCAAGCAGGTGCTACTGTAGGTACTGGAGACGCTCCATTTCCTCGGTGCCCGTTTCCTAAACTGTAGGCGGGGACTAGCAGTTGCAAGGCATCTGTCACCCAGACCAGTGCCAGCTCCTCTTTTCAGACTGTTCCAAGGCTGGGTTGAATGAGGATAGGAGAGATCGCCAAATCCCAGTTCCCCGTTCCTGGACCACTGCATCACCCTGGCCACCCCTCGCCGGCAAAGTCTGATGCCCTCAGAGAAACCGTATGGCCCAGTGATAGATGCAGGCCCTGGTGACAAGCTCAGCTCAGCCACTTACTTGTTATTACTGTGGAAAAGGTATACTCTGCCCCTTACGCCTCTGGATTCCCACCCACAAGCAAGCTTTGTGTTGTCTAGAGAACACTCGGGGGTGCCATTCTTGGTCTCATGACCGGCTCTGTTGAGGGCTGTGACCGGGGGCCAGTGAGGCGTGCTTGAGTCCGGTTCATCACGTTGTCCTCTGCTCTTGGTGCGAGGAGTAGGAAGACATCAAAGCAGCTGGTGTGATTTTAGGTTGTAGATTGTGTAGACGTCATCAAGGTCTTACTTCCCTCTCTGGAACAGGTAGAGCCAGGCTTGTAGCCCCCCACAAAGACCCCACAACATTGTCCGTCAGCATGTTAGCCCTTCCAGCTTAGTTGTTCTTAGTTCCCGTTTGCCTTGCTTTCCTGTTTCTTATGTACTGTCTTGATAACGTCTTACAGATAGTTGAAAATGACTTTTGAAAAAAGGCGGGATATAAATAAATGTAGAGCTGTTACCTGGCTTGATGTAGACTTTAGAAAACTTTTTTAGAGTTATGCTGTTCTTGTATCCAAGTGGAAGGCAACAGTGATGTAGTTAGAGGTTCCAGTTGTCACTTTTTAAATGTTTGCTGAGCTATTACAGCTCCCTTGAAAGTGCAACTGTTTGATGCAGGAGAGGAAGCCTTGATTCAGTCTGGAGGGAGGATGGATTTCGTTGCCCTTGCCGCCGGAATTTCATGACCACCCTGCCCTCCTCTCTGGGGCAGATGCACTTTTCTTTCCCACCTGGTACATACACACAACCAGTTGGTTTTCCTGTCCACAGGAAAATACATTACGTGGGGGTGGGGGGCAGTGGGGAGTGAGGAGAAAGCCCGCACGTTAAGCAACAGGAAGGCTTATTAAGCAGTGTGTCTACTGTGCTAATTCCACCTAGTGAAAAACGAATTATAAGCAGACCTGTCATCTTAGGAGATGTCTTGATCTCCGTGTCCCTGATAGGCTGGCAGAAACGTTCTGGATATGCTAGGTTGACGTGGAAAATTCATATGCTAGATTTAAGTGGAAAATCTCAATAGTAGATGTCGTCTGTGCCCTCTATGAATTGTGGCAAGTGTTCTGTTTACAATTTGAGATGTTTCTGAAGACTTCGAGAACTATCACAGCAACGGTACACAGCTTGGGAGAGAAAAAAAACCAAGGCTTTCCCAGTGTGGATTTATAGGTAATAAATGCCACCGCTAGAATAGAAAAAGGAAAATTATTCCTAGTGCTTTCTTCTTCCCATGAATTGAGACTTTTAAGTCTTTATGAAGAATGAAGTTATAAGTATGTTGACCTGTACTTTTCATATGTAACAGTTAAAATTTTAAATATTCAACCTTATAAGCCAAACTGGTATTACATGTATGCAATTCAAACATTGTGGTTTTTTTTTTTTTTTTTAACTCATTTTGTGAGGAGTAGGGCGCAAAACTTAGTCTCATGTCTTCTGCACAATGGCCGAAGAGCTTTCATAGCAAGTTGCACAATGGCAGAAGAGCTTTCACAGCAAGTGGATAGATAGTAACCCTTGGTCCCCCATAGGCACGGAGAAGCATTTGGCTACAAGGTGTGTTATAAGGTAGCCAGGGTAGTAAAGGCAAGCAGGTTCCACCCATGGCCAACTTATAAACAGGTTGCTTTCAAAACTGTGTGATCCCAGTGTAAAATTGTATACATACACACACATGTAGCTGAGCTACAGGTGCATGCCACCAAACCTGGCTGTTTTTAAATTGTTTATGTAGAGACAGGATCTGCTATGCTGCCTGGGCTGTTCTTGAATGCCTAGGCTCAAGCGATCCTTCCACCTTGGCCTCCCGGAGTGCTGGGATGACAGACTTGAGCCACCGTGCCTGGCCTTTTGTGTGTGTGTGTGCATTTAAGCAAAGTTAAATGATGTCTGGTTTTCAGCACAGCTCGTGTAGTTAGTTCATTGTAGCTTGTGGTAGAGGCCAAGAAGCACTTCCACTGGCGGCAGGGCCGGGAAGGAAGGGATCTGGAAGGCAGAGTGTGGGACTGCCCCGTTTGGTCATTTGACACGTAGAAGTAGAGCCTTGGGACCTGGCAGGAGACACAGAAGTCAGGATGAGGCGTAGGATGGTCAGGACTTCCGTGGCAACAGCGGGGCAACAGCGGGGCAGGGCACGGCGTCTTGTCCCAGGACCTCTCGTTCCGTGTCATGCTGCCCCGAGAAGGGGTGGAGCCCAGGATGTGTTTCCACCTGTGGAGCACTCACCGAGCATCTGTCCTCTCCTGGCTGCAAGTCTGCAAGCGCCACTGGGATAGCTACAAGACGGGGCCTGACTGCAGCTTCACATGGCCCTGCAGTGGCTTCCGCGTGTCCGGCTGCTGCTGTGCTCCAGGCGTGGGAAGGCTCCTGACCGAGGATTTCCATCCAAGAATGCCACCTCTTGGGTTGGTGGAAGGAGGTAGAGACCCTGGAAATTCATCGCTGCTTCTTAGAGATCAGATGTGAAGAGTCAATCCACAGCTTGTGTTCAGACGATGGTGCTGCCATAGCTGGTGACGCCGTGGCCCTTAGTGGCGTCCTTACACAGTACTAGCACGAATGCTACTACTTACCCACGTTAAGACGGTTGGAAAGAAGTGATGACAGATTGGGGAATCGCCCCACCTCTGCCCGTGGGAGCCCAAAGCCCCAGGCCTGTCCCCCGTCACTCTTCTGCCTGGAGGTGTGTGAGGGAGACACGCATGAGTGGGACAGTTGGGAAGGAAGGAAGGAGCCCCAGTTGCTGCTGAGACGGTGCCAGCACACGATGTGGAAGACTTCCCTGGGAGCTGGCCTGCAGGCCCGGGGTGAGATGTGCTGGACTGTTGCCCCTCCGTGCGGCCAGATCCGGGTCTAACCGCCACCAAGGCTGCTGCAGGGAAGGGCAGGCGTGAGACGGGAGTGAGGAGAGCTTCACCCATGTGCTTGAACTTCACAGTGTCCCTAGCCAATGGGATCTGCCAGGGCCCTGAGACACTGCCGCTCAGGAGAAGACACTTCTCCCCAGGTGCCCCTCCAGTGCGGGAGGGACACTGAGGATGCCTGAGATGAGGAGGCCTGGTAGAACTGGTGTGTTTCTGGTCCAGGAGCCCACGCTTCCCCTATGGCAGGACGCCGTCTCTTCTTCAAGATCAGTGGGCTGGGGAGGGGGAACCTGGACGAGGCCAACCGCGCGTCTCCTACCCGCAGGCCCCTCCCAGGTCCTGCCTTAGCGAACAGGATATTGCTGACAACATGTGGATGTTGTCCTGGTTTCCCAGCAAGTCTGTAGACATTTTTTGTAGTCGTGGAGAGTGCATCTTGGTCACTCATGGCAGGGCTGGCTCCGACTACAGAATGAGACAGGCCTCCAGGTCACCCTGAGTGCTGGTCGCCGGTGTGGTGTTTTGCTCTATGGAAGTGTCCGGTCGTGCGGGACGGCAGACTGCCCGGCACATGGTCCACCGCAGGTCACCTTTTGAGCACCACACTGCCAGGTCACTTCGGTGCAGGTCGTGGATGCCGCAAGCTCAGCACTTCCCCGCCAGCTATTTAGCCCTGGACCCACCAGAGCCTGTGTTCTTCCAGGCGAGGCCTCAGCCTGCGTTTCAACTGCAGAGAGAGAGAGAGAGAGAGAGAGAGAGAGAGAGAGAGAACTATTTTCTCTCTGTGGCCTCTGGGATCTTTCAGAACATCCTCTGAAGCTACCTCTTAACACTTAACTTGAGAATGCACCAGAAACACTTGCTCACAGGATGCTGCACGATAAGAAGTGGCCTTCTTCACATTTCACTGCAAAATTTTATGTGTGTGAACAAAATAAGATGTACACTTTTATCAGGTGTATGGGTGATTCCTGTCTTTTTCTTCTTAGGGCCAGTTCTGTCCACGCTCTGTTTTAATGAAGTTACGCTGTAGCAGACGATGTTAATTGTGTCACAGACAGCACTGCCCTGTCCTCTGCCTTCACACAGCCACACTGTTTTGAAGTGGGCCAAGGAAGACCTCAGTGGACACCAGTTCAGGGGCAGCCCGACGGTTTCTCTGTGTGTCACTCTGGAGAGTGTAGATGGCTGCCTCAGGTGTCTCTCTGCTGGTGCTCTGTCACCCATGCCTTGCCCAGGTCCCATCTGCTGAGTCTTTACCCGGGCTGGAAGGAGGCCTGACCCTCCCTCACAAAGGTCCTAGAGGGTCTAAGCCCAGTTGGTGCAGTTGCAGAGCTGTGACAAGCCTTCATGCCGCTGCATGTGGTGTGGAGACTGTGAGTGATGTCCTGAGCTTGCCTCTGCCTCTCTCTGGTTGGGCTCCGGAAGCAGCTCTCCCATGTTTGTTTCTGCACCAAATGTTCTGCACGGCTTCCGCTACAGTGTGGGAAAGCCCTTCTTGAAGTCACTTTAGCAGAAAGTTAAATACAGCATGTGAAGCTATGGCAGCACAAGTCTAAAATTTCACGTGTGTTCCGACTCGAAACGTAGAAATACAGTGACTTTTGTGAGCTTTTTAGACAAAGTTAGACTTTGGGGTCAACGTGCTGGTGTGTGGAGGCACGCATACCCTCCCAGGTGTGCGTTCTTTCATCTCCTTTTCCCTTCTGTGATTCAGCTTTCACATCTCGTGGCTCAAAGATTCCGGCAGGGCAGGGTGGGGATTCAGGTGGCCTTTGTGTGCCTGTTTTCCCAGGAGTTTCAGTCTATGGACCCTACAGCGTGATCTGGGGTTGATAGATCAGAAGGTAACAATTGCCCCATTGATTCTGAAAAGGCATGGAATCCTGTAGGCAGAACCCCATTCTGCTGGGCCCACAGCGGAGCCAGCAGCCTCTTCTTGGTGTGCTTGTTGAAGATTACCAGCCTAGATAGTACCCGATTTCAAAAGCTGGCAAGGTTAAGAATTAGCAAAAGTAGCAACAAGAGCCCGGTGACTGTGGCTTGCTATTGTTTGGGCTTTTTAGGGGCCCGGCATCAAAGGAAATTTTCTTCCAAAGGAATGATTTGAGATATACTGCAGCTAAATTGTTTTGAGTTGTATGTAAGTTTCAGGTTACAGAAACAATCAGAAATTAATTCCTAGCAAGCAGCATGACATTGTAGCTGCCTTCTCAAAAGGCAGTTGGGTTCTTGTCCAGATCTATACCAAAAAAGATGCTATTCATCTTAAAATTACATACAGTGGTTTCTCCGCGCCTTTCCCAGGGGTGATCCCTTACCTGCTTGCTGAAAAGGTTACTTAGAGAAGAGCAGGAGGTGTGTTTTCGGGGGGCTCTTCTAGCAGAGCCCACTGACCCTGCTTTGTGGCCCCGGCATCCTGTTCAGTGGGTTCCAATTCCCTTTCCCTCCCTCCTTCCACGGAAGGTGTACATTGCCATTGCCATTCCTTTTCCCTTTCTTGCTTTGTTTTCTACACCAGACTATGAACCCGCCTGTCCCCCCGCCCCCTCTCCTGGCTGCCACTGTCCTCGCCTCCACGCCAGGTGCCACCGCTACTGCCGGAACGGGGCCGAGACCCGCTGCGGGACCCACTGACCAGGTGGCACATCTGCGGCCCCAGGCTCGCCCCAGTGTGTAAGTGAGAACATCACTCATCCCTGCTCACGTGTCGTTAAAACCAGGTCCAACAGCAGCTGGAGGAGCGCCTGGAGTGAGCGGGTGGGCTCCTGGGCACCAGGTGGGTGTGTTCTCAGACGTCCACCCACTCGAGCACTGGTGAGAAACTGCTGGGACAAGGCGGCCGTACTGGGCTTGCCGGTGACCGTCCTGCTGAGCAGAGGTCTCTCATCATTGAGGGAGGTGTGCTGTCCACATCTCTGTCCTATCACATGTGTGTGGAGCCGCCTTGTTTGAGCTTTTCAGCCTTATTTTCATTGCTTGCGTTATGATACTAATAAACAGAAAGGTATCCCACATAGGTCAGATGTGGGTCTAGTTGGGGGAGGAATGGCAGAAACTGGAAGACCCCAGCAGTAAATCCAGAATGTCTGAGGACCCTATGGCGTTTATTGGCCCAGAATATGGTGAGGTCTCTGTGGATCCTGCCGTGTGAGTCTATACATGAGCAGTTCAGAGCTGGGCAGAGCCACGGGGCAGGGCTGCCTGCCTGGTCTCCAAGCGCTGGTGGCACAGTCACCTTGCAGCGTGGTGTTGTCTTCTACTCTCCTTGATCAAATCCATGCTGCTTCCTGGCAGAGTGTTCAAAGGCAGGGGCAGCCATGCCTCCTCCCATGGGCTGTGCCTCCCGGGACGTTGCCCTACATGTCCTCCCTGGGGCTGCTGCCCGAGTCTACCAGGGGCCATTTGAAGATCTCCGTGTTCCTAGTAGGCACGTGATCCTTTGCAGCAAGTTGGGCCCTCCTGGAGGCTCACTGATTCCGTCGCACCACATGAGGCCATTCGGTGAGGCAGTGCTTCCACACCGGGAGGAGGCTCAGGAAGGCCTCTGCCTGCATTTAAAATGTAGACAGCTGGCCAGGCGCGGTGCTCGAGCCTGTCATCCCAGCACTTTGGGAAGCCGAGGCAAGAGGATTGCCTGAGCCCGGGGGTTCGAGACCAGCCTGGGCAACTTGGTGAGACCTCGTCTCTATAATAAATCACACATTTGCTGGGCATGTGTGTAGTTCTGGCTACTTGGAAGGCTGAGGTGGAGGGATTGCCACAGCACAGGGGGTTGACGTTGGGATGGCCTTGGGTGTGCCACTGCCCTTCAGCCTGGGCGATGGGGTGAGACTCCAACTCAAAAATATATATATAGGCAGCCAATCTCCAGCAGGGCTTTGCCGAGGCTGTTCACAGACTAAAGGGTTGTACTTCAGGATGGTACTGAAGACGAGTCTTGAGCATCTCGGGGTGTGTCATTGCCCAACCTGAAGTCAGTGCTGTTTCTGCCCTAGATATGTCGCCGTCTACCCGTACGCGCCCCGGAAGGAGGACGAGCTGGAGCTGCGGAAGGGGGAGATGTTCGTGGTCTTCGAGCGCTGCCAGGACGGCTGGTTCAAGGGGACGTCGATGCACACCAGCAAGATCGGGGTTTTCCCCGGCAATTACGTGGCACCAGTCACGAGGTGCGGCTGGGAGGGGATGGGCTGTTGAGTTCCAAACAGAGAAACTTGGTTCTTTTCCGTGGCTTTTCAGCCTGTCCAGATTCCTGCTCACATTACAATTACCTGTTATGTAGCCAGAGTCTCGTAAACCCGTATGTCTACATCTGCAAAGACCCCTTCTAGCTCTAAAAATTCTTAGCTTGCTTTTTCTATGGATATATGTGAAATTATAGGTTTCTGCCAGTAAGTATACTGGGTTTTGAGTTCTTTGCTTTAATTTATATGCAGGAAGACTCAACTATAACATTTCAATATTTTTCTACCAGAAAAGAAAAAGCATAGTGTTTAACATAAACAAAAGCTGTATTATTAATGCTTATGTTTATGTAATGCGGACTGTATGCCAGGCATGCATATTTCTAAATGTGTTATAGTTTTTGGTTTTTATATTTTTGTTTTATTTATTTTATTTTATTTTTTTGAGTTGGAGTCTCACCCCATCACCCAGGCTGGAGTACGGTGGCATGCTCACGGCCACCCCAGCATCGACCTGCTGGGCTCTGGCCATCCTTCTGCCTCAGCCTTCCAAATAGCCAGAACCACAGGCACACACTACCACGTCCAGCTAACTTTTGAAAAAAATTATTGTAGAGATGAGGTCTCGCCAAGTTGCCTGGGCTGGTCTCGAACTCGCGGGCTCAGGCAATCCACTCACCTCAGCCTCCCAAAGGCGCAGGATTACAGGCTGAGCCTAAAGGTAGAATAGACTCTTCTCAGCTGAGGGCGATTTTGCTCCCTGGGGACATTTGGGAGTATCCGGACCCTTCAGGTGTGTGGCATCGTCTTTGCCTTGTGTAAACATCATCCACCTTCTGGTTGCCGGAGAAAGTGGCCTTGGAGGCTGAGTGTGGCCTGTAATGAGATGGGCAGTGTGGGAGCCCCAGGCTGGGGCCACTGGACTCTGAGCTCATGGCCCAGGTTCCACTGTGTTAAGTCATTCCTCAAACACCCAGTTTCAAACAGACAGCTTAGTGGCCAGGCATGTTTGCCAGCCGTTGGCTTTCATTTGTAGGTTGGCTAGCCGCCTAATCAAATGAGAATCACTATTGTTGCAGATGGTGACAGACTGTTAGCCTTAATTTGACTTGCAAATTTTTAATAAATTTAACCTTCTTTTCTGTATATATTAAAATCTACATTCCAGATTCAACCCATCTAGAAAACAACAGATAGAACCTCCCAGTGCAAAATAATAATAAAAAGGGAAGTAAAACAACAAAAGATGAAGTTAACAAAGGAAAACATTTTTATAAGATCTAAAAACAAATTATTAAAAGTCTCTCTGCTTGTTTAATTCTAGAGAAATGCTTACGGCAAATTCTTTTCTGATCATGGTAAATAAGGGTGTTTGAGTTAATGAAGTATTTTACTTAGAAAGTTACTATATATAGAATTGTTGTCATCTAAATGAATTCAGAATATTTCTAAACATTACACAAAACTGCACCAAACTTAACGAACTTCAACAGTAAATAATTGTTTGGAGCTGACTGTACCCCTGTAAGTGTGCGATACGGGGTGAATAGAAAAGAACCATTTTGCGCTGGCCCTGCCTTCAAGGACCCTCTGCTGAGGCAGTCCTATTTAATAAGGAATTCGTTAAAAGATTACACAGCTTATTGTATCATCAAGGGCAAAGCCTTCACAATTGTGGAGTCTAGAAACAGTGAAGGAAGAAGTCCACATGGAATAGTAGAATTAGTAGGTCTCAAGCCTGAGTCTCAGCAAGGCTTCTTGAGATGACGGGGTTTGTGCTGGATCTTGAGACAGACGTGAGATTAAGGAAGGTCAAGAGAAGCCGGGAGAGATGTCCAGCAGTACGTGTGTGTGTGTGTGTGTGTGCGTGCGCGCGCGTGTGTGTGCATGTGCGTGTCTGCAGTCGTGTGTGCTGCGGGCTGGAGGCCATAGGAAGAAGATTGGAAAACAGCAAAGCTGCGGTGTGTGGCAGTTGTGAGGCACACACTGGCTTGTTGGATCATTACGTAGGAGACTCCAGGTCCTCGAAAGTCAGGGGAGAGCCTTGGTTTTGGGACAGCAGGATCACTGTCTGCCCTTGGGCAGAGTGAGACATGGGGGGACTCAGAATACTTTTCAAGACCTGTCTCTGCCTTGGGGCTATCAGTACTTTGAATTTGCTTTTCTTACATTTAGTAAAAATAATTATATTCATTTTTTTAAAATGTTCTGTCTCTAAAGAACTGCATCATTTTTCTTGCCTTAATTGTTCTATCTCCTGTTGGCTGGTGGCTTGAGCTCTCCATCTGTGTTTCTGTCTTGGCAGGACGGTGACGAATGCTTCCCAAGCCAAAGTCCCCACGTCTACCGCTGGCCAGACAAGTCGGGGAGTGACCGTGGCCAGTCCTTCCACGGGGGGAGGGCCTGTCCAGAAGCCCCAGGGAAATGGCGTGGCTGGGAGCCCCGGGGCCGTCCCCACGGCTGTGGTGCCAGCGGCCCACCTTCAGACAAGTCCCCAAGCAAAGGTCCTGCTGCACATGGCTGGACAGATGACGGTCAGCCAGGCCCGCAGTGCTGTGAGGACAGGTAAGGACGCAGGCCGGAGCCCTCAGGAGGAGGGTCTCTGGCAGCGTGCTGAGGCTGTGGGCACGATGGATGGTGGTGGATGACGGCTGGCATGGGCGCCATGGCTTTTGGTGTCTGCTCACAGGCTAGCCTGCCGCACACTAGCTCAGGCCTGACTGACAGACCCAGAGTCTGCAGGAAATCAGGCAGCCCCTTCGAATGCCTGTGGCCCTTGAAAACACGACTTTGGTGGTCACGACCTTGTGACTTGGGGGTTATTTCTGATGGGCTCCATCGCAAGTCTGCTGTAGACTCAGTTGGTTCCTAAGTAGCTGTCGTAGATCTGTAGCACTGAGAGCCTGCTCAGAGTCTGGGGTAACGGTGGTGGGCGAGCTAAAGGTGCATGAACTCTATCCGAGTTAATAAGAAAAGGTGGGAGGATGGTACGGTGTGACACGCGTCTCTCAGAATGGAGAATGGCTTTCTCCTAGCCCCAGGGCTCTGGACTTCCAGTCCTCAGCGGGCTCCAGGGCTGAGCGGGAAGGAGCCCGCTGAGAACAGGTGCTCTGAGCCAGCGTCCAGGCGGCCTGCACTGGGGCGGGTTGGTCGCCGCCCTACCGTGCCAGGAGGTGACTCGGGTTTTGGCGAGCAGCATTTATGAGGAAACTGACTTGTGTTCCCTCTGTCCTCTTCTAGTTGCGACACACAGCCAGGAGCGCCCCACGGCAGCAGTGACTCCCATCCAGGTCCAGAACGCGGCCGGCCTTGGCCCGGCGCCTGCGGGCATGCCTCACCACCCGCTGGCCACCCCGCAGCCCCTCCCTCCGCTGGCGGGCTCCGTCGCGCACACGGCCCCGGCCGGCGTTGGGCGTGCAAACGCCCCCCTGGCCTGCGTGGCAGCTGCTCCCCTGGCCTCCCCGAGCATCGCCGCCACCCCCCCAGAGGCCGAGCCTGGCGGCCGGACTGTGACCGTTGCTCCCGGACTCCCCTTGTCGCCTGACGGTGCCGCGTCGGTGTGCGGGAGCAGTGCGGCCAGCAAGGCGGACAGGGACAGCAGAGTAAGGGCAGTGGCCGTGGGGTCAGCCCGGTGCGGGTGGCGGGGAGCGGGTGGGCCCAGCCTCCCTCTAGACCCCTTGCTTCCTTGTGGTCGGACGCGCCTGGCTGCCGGGCCCGGAGCTGGACTTAGGCGGGCCCAGAGACGAGGCGTGGGCAGCCGTCAGCAGCTCAGCCTCCCGGGGCCTCCTTCCCTCCTCATGGCTCCTTGTTACTTGCTGGCTGATTCCTTCGGCTCAGTCTTCCTGGTTAACGGTTCTGTAAGGAAAATACTCATACATGAGGGGTTGAAACGGTGGCCCAAAAGTGTTGCTTGTGGACTGATTTCACCTATAGCCCCTCCAACCGTAATCAACGTGGCTTCTTGAGAGATAGGATTGAAATATGGGGAAAAATTTTTTTTCTAAGTCCATGTTGGTTTTTTTTCTTGAGTCGGAGTCTCACTCTGTTGCCCAGGCTGGAGTGCAGTGGCACACTGCTCATGGCCACTGTAGACCTGCTGGGCTCAGGCGGTCCTTCCATCTCAGCCTTCCAAGTAGTGGAAACTACAGGCATGTGCCACCACGCCCAGCTAATTTTTTTTATTTATTGTAGAGACGAGGTCTCACCATGTTGCCCAGGCTGGTCTTGAACCCTTGGGCTCAG